ACCTGACACCGTCCTGATGGAGTTTTTGAAAAGATAAACTGGGGTGAGGTTGTTTTGTGAGGAGAAAAGCTTGGTAGCTTCTCCAGCCAGGAACTGCTGCCTAGAGTCTTTGGGTTAAGAATGCTTTTTTTTTTATTTGAGTTATTCCAGATTCCTCAGAGCGAAGACCTCAAACCTCTAATCGGAGAGAAGATTGTTGACATGCATTATTTCATAGCACTTTGAGAGTTTATCAATAGTTGAGATTATTTATCACAAACTAAACTGGAGGAAAAATTAATAATTACCTACCTGCTTACTAGGAACTTACTACATGTCTTGGTAGAGTTAGTCATCAAAATTCTGGGTGGAGACATTTTCCTCAATTCTGGAAAGGAATAGCCAACCATACCTTGCTCCTAAGATTGCTGGTGGTGGGTTTGTCTTTGAAAAGAAGGCTATTGGGTGAAATTTCAGAAGTTTTTGTAAAGATGAGAGAGGCATTTCATTTCATGCAAGGCTGAATGCTTTGGGTTAGGATGAAGCCAGTGTGTACAGTTAATACCTGCTGAACCTGAGACCTTTTGTTTTCCCAGTGGGGGTTTAAGGAAATGAGCCTTAAGTATGGTCCTGAAGTAAGAGTATCAATTCAGAATTTTGGAGGTAGAGATTTGTGGTGAATACAAAATATAAATGTGAGGACAGATATTTAGACATATGTTACAACACAAAGACAACCTTGAAGATATTATTCCATGTGAAATAAGCCAGTTACAGAAAGAAAAAAAATGTGTAATTCTACTAATATGAGGTACCTAGAATAGTCAAATTTATAGAGATAAAAGTAGAATGCTAGTTTACAAGTTCTGCAGGGAGAGGTAATGGAGAACCACTGATTAATGGATATAGAGTTTCAGTTTTGCAAGAAATAATTCTGGAAATGGATGGTGGTGATGTTTGCACAACAGTGTGAATATAATCAATGCCACTGAGCTGTACACTTAAAAATGGTTAAGATGATACATTTTATATTGCCTGTGTTTTCTGTTATGTGTATTTTTCAATATGAAATAAAAAGAAGTACAGGTATGACTGTAGGATGGGTGTCAGGAAGCATTCAGAGGTAGAATTTCTGAGGATGTTAACAGGGCTGGGGTGAAAAGGAAAGCTATATGATCCAGGATGTTAAATCTTCTATCAATCACTAAGGGATATAGCTAGGAGGCTGGTAGAAGACAGCCAGGAGAAAAGGAGATACTGTGGAGTGGTACTACAGTCTGTATATGGTTTCAGCATGCCCTCTTAAGTGTGGTGAAACTTTTGGCCTTCAGTATGGTAATTTTGGGAAATGGAGGAACTTTAGAGAGGTGAGGCCTAGTGGAAGATGGTTGGGTTGTGGTGGGTGCCACCCTAAAAGGAGATTAATGTTGTTCTCTTCAGATCTCATTAGTTTACACAAGAGTGGATTGTTACACAGCAAGGCTGTGTCAGGATATTTCTCCTTCTTACCTCTCTGCCATGTTGTAATGCAGCCAAGGGGGTACTCACCGGAGGCCAAAGAGATCTTAGGCATTCAGCCTTCAAAACTCTGAGCCCAAATAAATCCCCTTTCTTTATAAAGTTCCCAGTCCAGAGTATTTTGTTATAGCAACAGAAAACAGTCTAATACAAGCAGCATGAGCATCGGGAGAATGTGTTTTGTAAGAGGGTTGGAGAATGATAGTCTGGATGTTTCAATAGGGATGAGTATTCCTACCTCACCTGGACTTCGAGATACATAGGAAGTGAGAAAGGAAATCATGCCAATTGAGAATGGGAGAAGAAACAGTTTCAGTTAATGCAAGGAGGCCAAGGAAATTGTCAAGAAGAGACTGAAAATGTCAAGATGCCCCAGGGCCCAGTGGGAATGCAGTGCAGTTGTGGAGGACTTGATTCAACAGGGAATGCGAATGTAGGAGAATGGTGTGACTATAGCCTCAATCTCCTAGTGTTAAGCTGCTGAGCAAGGGAATCTGCAGCTTGATGAGATGTGTTGCAATCCTTGGAAGTAGAATCAGAACTGGGTACTTGGAATGAACTCAAGAAGTTATGCACTGAGCATTGGCAGTGGAGATTTAGACATTTCGGTGAATTCTGTGTTCTTGGAGGGCTGGGGATGGGCCTCCCAGGGTCCATCACCCTTCATCCCACCCCCACACTTGGTATCATTACTCAAACATGATGGCCTTTCTTAGGCACAAACTCAGACCCTACCTCAACACGACTCTCCTATTATGATTTATATGAGGATCCCCGCCCCGCGCCCCAAAGCCTCATGTACTCAAAGGTGGGGCTTTTGAAATGTGATTGGATTATGCAGGCATATAGCTGACTTGCTGCTAGAAGGTGTGGCCTCATTATAAGACATGGTTCTCTGGGAAAGCCTAGAAAGTTCTTTCTCTCTCCCTGGCCCTGCCCTTTCCTCTTTTTCCTGGTTACCATAGTGTGAGCAGTTTTCTTTTGTCCAGACTGTTGCACCATGCTGCTTCTGCCTGGAGCCAACTGTGCAAGGACTGAAACTTCTAAAACATGAGCCAAAATAAACCTCTCTACTTTTAAGTTGCAGGTATCAGGTATTTTGTCCCAACAACAAGGAAAGTAACTAAGACATCCCCAGGAATCTGTTTGCCAGCTTTCACTTATGTCAGCATGCTTATTTTATGGAAGAGGAAACTGAGGTTAAGTGAGGACAAATTATTTACTGAGACCAGGTGGGGACAAAAATTCACATTTCCTTGCCTCCACTACTGCAGAGAAATGTGGGAAAATGTCTGTTGACTTAGGCCTCCAGTGGGACATTGTAAAGGCTGAGCATTGCCCATAAACTTCACTAAAGGGTGGAAATAATCCATGAGACAAGAAAGGGTGGAAATGAGATGGTGAGGGAAAGGTTGAAAGATAAATGAGCAGTCACAGGGAAAGGGAGGCAGACTTTATACCTTCTAATCCACTCTTGAGGTGGTAGAATGGGCTGGGCAAGGAAACCAACTTCCCCTTTCTCCAGGAGGAACAAGTCCTGTGGCACATGGGTAGGCCGGTTCAGCTACCAGTGCCAGGTCATTCTGAAGGGCTTAAAGGGAAGCAAACCTGTCTGGTAACGTTGGAGAAATCTCTGCGAGTGGTCTAGACTAGGTGAACCTGCTCCTTTCCCTCTTGGCTAGAGCCAAGCCACAAGATTAAATACCAGGAAACCCCTTGGCGAAGATGGGGCTTTTCAGCAGCAGAAGGGAAGAGTCAGGCCCAGTACACTTAGACAACTTTAAATTGCTAAAAAGAGCTGCTTTGGCCAGTTGTGGTGGCCCACACCTATAATCCCAGCTCACTGAGAAGCTGAGGCAGGAGGATCACAAGTTTGAGCCGAGCAATTTAGTGAGACCCTATCTCAAAATAAAAATTTTAAAAAGGGGTGGGATGTAGCTAAGGCTCTAGATTCAATCCTCAGTACTGAAAAACAAAACAAATAAAAATAAAACAAAACTCTGCTTCTAGGCAATCATGATATGGGTATGCACGATGTAGCCACACATCTCAAATCAGCTTCCCTAGGGATATGGGTTGGGATACTTATGGGATAAAGAAACAAGAAGGCCCGAGGTGTGGGGAAAGGTGATTAGAGGTGAAGTAATCAGTGGTCTGTGCCTTCATAATCAATCTTATGGCTCTTCATGGGATGAATGTTCAGAAAATGTGGCATTGTCCTCTGGCTACCTGCACAGATCCAAGTGATGAGCTGGTGGTCTCAACAAAAATGGGGTTCAAGGCCCTGAAAGTTAACCCAGGCTGCTGTTATCATCATAACATCTGTTAGTATTGTTGTCAACAGCAGAGTTAGCAGGAGACTCATAATATATTGCTCAATTGGGAGAACTCTAAAGTTAGTGATTTTTCTGGTTATCGACCCAAGGGCTTGCATTTTAGCTTTTTTTTTTTTTCTTAAAAACATCCATTTAATCTGGCAGTTTGAACTCTTTTCCTCAATTGAACTCTGACTTTCATGCTCTGAGAAAATATCCTATGAGACTGGGCCATCCTTAACCATTTATGTTCCTTCTAATCTATGTAAATTTCTGCGGTGGCTATCTTATGCAAAATACAGTAAAAATTTATTGTACATTGTTTCTGTCAAATGTTAAAGAAAACATGAAATAAAGGAGAGAAATAGGAAGTAAGGAGAAGTTCTAATAATTCCCCAAGTTATATATTCCATTGTTTCAAAAATATTTCAATATATATGCTAATTTGTTTCATTTATCCTGCTAGGTCCTCTTAGTTCATTGAAAAGAAACTTTTGTGCTATTATCTGTTTCTTTTTTGTAAGAGTCTTTTTGTCTATGACTTGTACTCTAACATTTTGGCCATTCTTTTAAGATTATGGTATACAGTATATTAACTAATGTTATTTTTTAACTAATTTGTTATAAAATTTTGCTTTATTTTTTCATAGAAGTAATGACTGCTTTTACAGATATTTTTTATCAATATCTACTTGTATTACATTGAAATAAAGTTTTTCCTAACCAAAGAAAAAACAAGTGATTTTTGTCGTCAGTTAATAGCAAGTAAAAATAGAGGGCTTTGTTGTTGTTGAGGCGGTGGGGGGGATTGAAGCTCAGGACCTTCCATATGCTGAGCGAGCACCTTGCCACCAAGCTACATGCCCACAGCAAGTGAGAGGCTTTTCCCTCCTCGGTTTTGCTAAGCTGACTCTGTCTAGTTCTGTGAGATGGGAAGGGGTGAGTGGCTGCTCTATTGTAGAACTCCTAATCCTCTAGATCTCTTTTAAAATATAAACAAAAAAATTCAGCTTATGAGAACAGCTTACAACACAGGCTTACAACAGAGCTTAGGAATCTTTAGTTTTTTCCAGAGCAGCCACAGACACAGGAGCCTATGGGAGATGCGTGATTCACACAAGAATAGAAGTTTCAGGGCAGGGCTGGGCCCCAGGAGGAGCCTGAGTTGGGGAGGAGACTTCTGAGTGGCAGTCCTGAGCCTGAGTAGTCCAACTGCCCTGTCACAGCAGCTGGCTGTCATCCATGCCCAGAGCACAGTGAGGAGTAACTGAGCTTCCTTCCGTGTAGAGAAAGTAAACAGTTAAAGTCTTGGGGCAGCTGCAATCATCTGGGCGTGGTTCTCTGGTCTGACTTGGGCTGCATAGATCCTGGGCCAAGAGGCAGAGGAAGGACGGCTTAGGCTTAGGTGGCAGAGTGTCCCAGATGGCTGAGTTGGAACTAATGGCCCCAGGGCCACTGCCAGGGGTTACTGTTCATCCTCTAGGCCCTCTTCTTTCAAACTCTGAGTCAGCCAGACGAGTAGAAGAAGAGGACACAGGCTCCCTGGGAAGGCCTGTGGAAGAGACAACAGAGGGACAGGGCAGTGGCCCAGCTGAGCTTGGGGCTTCTGGTGGAGAGGGGGATGGGGAGATCTTGTGTGACTTTTGCCTTGGGGGCAGCAAGGTGAGAGCGGTGAAATCCTGCCTGACCTGCATGGTGAATTACTGTGAGGAGCACCTTCGGCCACACCAGGAGAACAGCAAACTGCACAGCCATCAGCTGACTGAGCCGGTGAAGGACCGAGACCTGCACACCTGCCCTGCCCATCACAGCCCCCTGACTGCCTTCTGCTGCACTGATCAGCAATGCATTTGCCAGGAATGTGCCCAGGACAAGCACAGGGACCACGCTGCTGTTCCCCTGGAGGCAGCCCGAAGGCACAAGGAGGTGAGTGATTGGAGTCTATCCATCTGGGAGAGGGTAGTGGAAGACGGTGTCCCAGGGAGAGGCCAGCCATGCCACAGCTCCTGACACTGCTGATGTCTCTTCTGTGCTTTGAGTGCACAGGTAAAGACATTGGCCTTAGTACCTGGCTGTTCATCTAGCATAAATATTTATTGACATTGGTTTTGAAAACTGAAATAGCTTACTCTGTCTCATCTTTGTGTGTCCCCCTGTTCCTGTGGGATTCCGTCTTGTCTCTGCTTCTGGCTCTAAGTTTTCCTGCTCTGTTTCATATCACCTGGATATGTGTGTTTAGATGTGTTATGCAGAAGTTCTGGGATTTAAGCGTAGGGCATTTCCTTCTGGCAGAATCTGGATGGTATATTCACTATTGAATGGTGAAGTGCAAGCCTTGGCAGACATTTAATGGAGAAGAAACCTTTTCTTTAATTTCCTTTCCCCAAACAGCGGCCCCTCAGAGATAGCTGGTGTGAAATTCAAGAGCTTTAAAACAGCTAAGATAGCATAGAATTTGAAACCTATGTTCAGGTGTAATGTCAAGCATGACTTAACTCAGTGAAAAATAAAAGTTATTCACCAAGTAAAGGTAGCCAGAGAGACTGAGAAACACCTTGTTCAGAACCTGTAATTTTGCTTCCATCAGAAAAGAAATGATTTTTAGAAAACCTAGCTTTTCTTTTGCCCAAAAGCCAAGAGTCTAGAGAAGCCTTGGGAAATGGTTTAGAATTTTATGATTTGTTTGTCCTACTTTGACTTCCTATGAGCATATTTTTTGTTGTTGTTGTTGTTGTTGTTGTTTTTCAGTAGGGAAGTACAGGTGACTTTTGTCCTACATTTCTTACAGTCATACTCCAGCAGCTCCCTATTTGCATTGCATTAGGCTGGTAGCTTTACAGCAATTTCTTGGCAAATGGTCCTGGACAGTGAAGGAAAGAGTTTCTGGAAAAGGAGATTTCCTTGCCAGGGCACTGCCTATATCCCTGTCCCTAGGCATTGATTCTGTCCAGTATGGGTGGGAGATATTCTGGAAAGCTTTGTCTTCCAGATGCCAATGAGTCACCATTTCCGGCCCAGAAAGTCACTTGTCAACTGTTCCCAGTATTTCCCAGGTCAGGGGATGTCCTGTCAGCAGAGGAAATCAACAAATACAAACATCAAAGGAAAAAAAACCCTCCACATAATTTAGGAAAATAGCTCTTATTGAGTATTGCTATAAACGAAATGCTTTTTATGGATTTTTCTCATCTAATCCTTAGTAATAATGAGGTGAGGACTGTTATCACATCTGTCCAAGCTCATACAGTGGACTAAGTCATGGAGCAAGGCATGGAAGCTTCTGGAAAGCCATTCTACTGCAGGGAATACTATAACCTTACTTTTAAAATGATGTTTTTACACCAAAACCAACCCTGCCACACATATACTAAAGATATTGAGATAAAGTATATTACAATACTATTCCCTTTGGGTAAAATATATGAAACATTATTTTTACATGAAAAAGTGGTACATGATGATGTTTAAAAAATCTCCACCAAATAATCCAATAAATTTTAATAGGCCTGCCCCAGGTCTATTCTCCCTCTTCTCATCAGAGGTTCACACTATCTACCCTTTTCTTTTTTGTACTGGGGATTGAACTTGAGACCTTGTGCTTAAGAAGCAGGCAACAGAACCTCTGAGCTAAATCCTCAGCAGTACCATCTACCACTGAGACAAAATATCCAACACCCAAAGTTAAAAGGGGAAAGGTTTATTTAGCTCTCAGTTTGTAGAGGTTTCAGTCCATAATCAGCTGGCTCCAAGGCAGGGTGACATTGCAGGCAGGCATTGAAGAGGATAGACAGTTCATGGCAGGCAGAAGGTAACAAAGCAGGCAAGTAAGGGTGACCACAGTTCTTTCTATCCCTTGTATCTTATCCAGGCTACTCAGGGTGGGTAGCACTCACATCCTTAATCCTAGTGCCCTTGATCCTAGCATTGTACCGTGAATCAATTCACACAGTCTAGATCCAGCCACCTCTGGAAAAGCCCCATCTATGATCACATGACACTTTGGAGAGACATCTAAACTCAAGCCATAACACACATATAAAATATAAATGGTATTTGTTGGGCACCTAGCATAATACAGAGACTTATAGTGATTGTGATTTCAACAGAAGGAGTTGTGCTAGGCATGTGTAGAGCCCCCAAACACAGACATCCCGGGAGACACCTGTGTAAGGCAAAACAGAGACAGCTGAATGGAGGGCTATAGGGTGTTTTTGTACTGAAAAGCAGTTATGGCTCTGGGTGCAGTGCTACAGTCCCACACTGCAGACCCCTCTGCTTTCTGGTATGCTTCAGAGATCTAGTGTTCTTTCCAGCCCATGTCCTTGTTTTGAGCTTAGAGAGCAAGTTTACTCTAAAAGTGCAGCCATACTCTAAGTGGATCTACCAAATGTTAGGAGCCAAGAGATTTCTTACAAAGAATCCAAGGAACCAGCCCAGAAGACACAGTTTCTTGTTGAGGTGACCAGCTCCACTAGGATTGTTTTGAAAGGATTAGAGGACATATGTAAGTCCCTGGAAGCGTTGCACCCCTTTCAACTAGCCCAAGCCTGCTGCAGTTGCTTGCTGAAGGTTACTGTGGAGGCGTGAAGAGCTAATTACTTAGGCAGGCATGTGGTGCACAGGAAATTTCAAGTGTCAGGGTCAGTTGGGAGAACACAGAACAGCTGACCTGTTACTGGCTCCACAGATTCTTGTGCTGTCTATCAGAAAATCACCATGGCACAGGAACATGGCTTTTCATTCTGATGCTTTAGCATAAGTTGAGATAGTACATGGGGTACAGAAATCCCAGGCTGACCCAAAAAAGGCCAGCTTTTATGGTATCTACAGGATAGGCAGGGACCTGGTCTCTTGATGTCATTGCGCATAGAGGCAGAGTTTTAGTTACACCTGTGCTTTGTGCGTGTATGCCTTTTTTTGCAATGCTTGCTTTCATTATCACCTTAAGTCTCCACTTTGGAGTGTGATTTTTTTAAACCATGCTAAAAAAGTAATCTATAGACTACATTACTCTTTGACAGTTGTGTTTGCCCTTTGCCACTTAGAATTTGCCCCTTATCAGGCTGGGGATTTACCTCAGTGGTGCTGCTTCCTGCCTTGCAAGTGCAAGGTCCCGAGTTCAATCCCTGGTACAAAAAAACAGAAAAAAAAAATGCCCCTTATCATCTGGGAAAGTTCCTAATTGTGTTTTGGAGAAGGGCAGACCCATTCTTCTGCCTCAGTTGGTTTTATCTTAATAATTTTGTCTTTTTTAGCCCTAGCTTCTTTGTATCTCTGCTGACCACATAGTTTCTAAAGGCAGGGGTGACTTTTTATCTTCTTGTCTCCTGGTATGGTCTCTTAGTTTTATGTCCTTTTTATACTTTCAGCTTCCTGGTATGTCTGCTAACCCCTTAAGACTGAGGGATAGCCTAGCTATCTCAGGTACACAGAGTGACATTTCTCAGTTAACCAAATGAGTCCTTTCTAAAGTTCCCAGATAGGCCAGTGAGCAAAGACGACTTGGAGAGGTGTGTGTTCTTTGATTATTTGTTCTGTCTTGCTGAGCTTCTACGCCAGCTAGCTATTCCTAACGGGGACCTCAGTGCTTTCCTTTGCCCTAACTCAGCTTCCAGTGACCCCTTTGTTCTTAAGAGCAGTGGGTCTTGCCTGCAACCTGCTAACTCCTCCTATCATCTCTGAATCTCAGGCTTGCTGCCATGGAAATGAGATGCTGTGTGTGTGTGTGTGTGTGTGTGTGTGTGTATGGGTGTGCACCTGTGTTATAAAATTTGGACTCTTAAGACCATCTTCCGTGTTTGTTCTCCCCCATGAAGTGCATATGGTTCCTTCCTGTTTCTCAGGCTTCTGACACTTATGGAGTATATCCTGTGAGCTAATTGCTGGGCTGCACTGTCTAACCTCCTGGAGCTTGGGCTGTAATCAGGAAGCCAAGACACATACTGTGCCTCCATGGAGTCGCACTGGGAGTGAGATCAGGGCAGGGTTCTTGGAAGAAGAAAGACCTGAGATGAATCTTATCTTGGATCTTTGGAGATGACTAGTGCCAGGCCACTATTTTCAATCTCAAAATTGGTTACAGAAAGGTTAGAGCTATGTGCAGCACAGCCTCCATGTGGAGCAAGAACAAAGCATCTGAGAGCTGAAAGTCTTTGCTTATCTGGACAGACATCAACCAACATTGCTCACAGTCTCTGCTGGTACACAATGGGTGGGTATTATGTGGCAACTCAGAACAAGAGTTTCTTTCGGAAATTCCAAGGAGTGCTCTGTGTTCAGTATAATGTAGCTTTTTTTGTGAACAGTCCATCAGACTGTAAATCTTCTAAGAGCAATAAGTGTCATATTTGATTGGACTGGCATGTAGCAGGTCTTAAAGAATGGAGTCAGTGTCTGGGGATACCAAAAGCAGAGTCTCCAGAGGGCTAACTTGGTGTGGCTGGAAATACAAGAGAATTGACACATGTGGAATATTCTTCTTATTCCTTCTGCTGTTCCTATTTGCATCTCTAAACCACTCCTGGACACCATGATCTGGATGCCCCTTTTGCCCTGTTGATGGAAGAAAGAACAATTTTGTCAACATATTCATGTGGCCTTATACCAGAAGAGAAGGAAATGATTCGACAAGATCATGCAGCTAGCCAGCAACAGCTCTTCTTTCAGATTCAAAATATTGTGCCTTTTGTGCAACATTTATCATTACCTTTCTGAAACAAGTGGGACTTTTAGTGCCCATTGCTAGAAGGCAGTCTGTGCTCACAGGCACTCTTGTTCTGCTCTTGGACAGGACCCACCCTGGCTTGGCATGTGTGTATGGTTCATGGGAAACTGAGACATCCCATCATTTTCTAGCAACAGGAATAGCTGGAGATACAAGATTCCAAAGTGGCTCCACCTTTTGTGGTAATTAGGAGTGCCTTCCCTTGGGGTGACTCACTCAGAGAGGTCCCCATTCTGTGTGCAGCCCCTTTTCCCCTTTTATGGTAGTTTACAGAGGAAAGAGAGGAAAGAAAGCTGCCTCTTTGCTGGATACTCCTGAGTGTCTCTCTAGAGCCTGGCTGGGGATGACAGCTTTAATTCATTCTTGTGTCAGTGCTGTTTAAGGGCTACATTGCATGTGCCTGTGGCTGAGGTGTCCTTTTGTGTCTTCCAACACCTTCAGGAAATTCACATTCTTTTCCATCCTCCCAGATTGGTTCACTGTATAATATAGAATTCCAGGATTATTCTTGAATAGGCTAGACACCCGTCATCCGCTCCTTCTCTCCATTTTTTCCCCTACTCCTCCACTCCAGGGTATCAGGTTTCAGGTATCAGGGGTGAGAAGTCACCTGGGCTCCTTCAGCACCGCAGCAGTGATATGGAGACTGAGCAAAGCTTATTGCCTTCTGCAGTGTCCTTGTGAGGTGACTGCCTTGCATGCAGTTGCTTCCCTCACTGGAGGGTGGGCAGGGGAAGCTCTAGGCTTCTTCATGGGAGAAATGGAGAGGTAATTTATGCCCTTTGAGCTCTGCCAGAGCATAATTACTCACAGCTTTATATAGATAGAGGCTATTAAGTGCAGCGAAAGCTGTGTACTTATTATTTCTTTTTTGCTATCTCTTCCCCTTGTAGAAGTAGGAAAGTGACAGGGCCTTTGAAGTTGGCAAAGACTTAGGTTTACTGCCAGGCAGCTTTCTTGGTAGAAATTGTTTATGGAATCCTAGGAGGCAAGAATAAAGCTGAGGTCAGGGCAGGCACACCCAGGGTTCTCATCTGGGACTGGTTTTGGCTTGTGGGTAGAGTGGGGAAGTTGACTCCGCCTGCTTTCAGAAGCAAATGCAGCAAATGAATGGAAAGCAATTGTGGGTAAGAATAATAATGATGTTGACAACATTGAGAACAATCAATGACATTTATAGTATACTTACAATGCGCCTGGTACTAAGCAAAGTTCCTACTAACACATACTGTTTCATTTAATTCATTATAACTTTTGGAAGTAGACACAATTTATCCTCATCCCATATGTGAAGAAATGGACATTTAAAGACATTAAGTTATGAAATAAGATATGGGGAGTGGGTAGTGGGAACCTCCTTTATAGCTGGTTATGTCACTATTTTCTGACCCCAAACTGAGTTTTCTCCTTTTGGAACTGTGGAACAAGTAACAAGACTGAGCATCATTTGAACAGTGAAAGAACTTTGATTTTTGGCCGAGAATAGAATAGGTCAAGAAATGAGAGAGAAACTCAGAAATCAACTCCCCAACTGGTTGAGCATCAGGAGGTATAGATATAGGTGAAAAGAAATAAGGAAGAGAGAAAGGCTAATAAAGAGCAGGAATATTCATGTCTTTCATGGAAATGAGAAGAGATTTTTCTGAGAACTCAGGTGCCACTTCTCTGTTGCTTTTATGGTTTTTTTTTTTTTGGAGTAGTCATCATCATAGCATTCATCAGCTGTCATGGCACTGGGAATGTGTCCTTCACCATGCAAATTGGATTATCACGATCTGAGAGGTTGTCTGGTGTTCACTTTGGCATCCATCTTAGGTTAGATCCAAACAATTTTGGCTAGCCCGCCTAAAGATGGACTTCTGGCCTTCAAGAATATTATCCTCAAAGATAAACAAGATCAGGGTGGGGTAGCAATTCAATTAGGTCAAGCAGGTGGTATAAGATTAGGGCAGGTAACTGTTGGTGGGGGGCCCAAGTGGTTACCTGGACTTGGAATTGGCATCAGAAGTGGTGAAGTTGTGCACAGTCTTGTGGAACTGAGCCTTTAACCTGTTTACCTGACACTCGCTCCTTGTAGATAGTGTCAGAACTGAGTTGAATTGTGGGACACCCAGCTGGTGTCAGATAGTTTTTTGGTGTGGAAAAAAAAAAGCTCATATAATTTGGTCAAAAAAATGTTTTGTGTTAAGTGTGAATATAAGAAAAATAAGTTTATTTTCTTTATACATAAATTTTTCTGAAGTTTTGGCTGCTAAGTAAAAATCCTGGACTCCCCACCTGATTGTTTGGCTCTAAGCCACGTTTGTCATTAGACGAGATTGGGTGCGTTCAGGGTGGTATGGCTGTAGACTACACATTTGTCATTAGGATATTCTGGGTCGGTAAGTCTAGGTTCAACTCTGACGAGCTGTCAACCTTGGAAAATGACTCAGTTCTTTCACCTGCAAAATAGAATCACTTTTGCCCTTATGTGGGTATAGAAGGGTGGTAAGAGGTAAACCATATACACACTGAAAATGACAAACCATGTGTAGGTGCTCAGTGCATTTTAGCTGATTCATGCTGATGTCATGCCCCAAGGGGTGTTGGCACACAACCAAGACTTTGCTTCTGAGATCAGCAGTAGAGGTCAAATTCTTCATCGAAGAAGGGCAGGGACCTCAAGAGTGGAACATGCCATTGCTCTTGTGACCTTTGTGCACTGAGCTCCGTCCTCCTTAACTCTTTTTCCTTTCTGCTTCCTAGGCTGAGCTTCAGTGCATACAACTGGACCTGGAGCAGAAACTCAAACTGAACGAAAATGCCATTGCTAGGCTCCAAGCCAACCATAAATCTGTTTTGGTAAGACTGGTCTGGGTCACCCACACCCATCTGAGATAATGGAATATATGTGCTATAGTTACAGTGGGGTTACCTAGCAAGTGACAGTTGTGGGTACCGATGGCCACATTATAGGGTAGTCTCACCTTGCTATCCAGATTTATTGTGAAATTGGCTTGGTTTTAAAGCTGGCAAGTGATTTACTTTTTAGTAATAATGAATAGAACCAAAACCAATAAAAAAATAACAGCATTCAGCATTCTTATTTCTACTTTTTTTTTGGTACCAGGGATCCAACTTGGGCCCTTGCTCTTGTGAAGCAGGCACCAGAACCACTGAGCTAAATCCCCAGCCCTTTCACATTTTTTTGAGACAGAGTCTCCTATCAGATCAGGCTGGCCTTGAACTGACTATATAGCCCAGGCTAGCCTCAAACTCATGGTGATTCTCCTGCCTCAGTTTCCCAAATGCTATGATTATAAGCATGCACCACCATGCTCAGCTTTCTATGTGCTTTCTTACCAGGAGAAAAGTAAATGTGTGTGTGATTAAGTCAGAGGAATTGCTGTATCTTGGCTCCTTCCATAATGGCAGGATGTTCTGCCTTTGTATCTCACCAGTTCTTTGTCTGGAAAAAAGAGTTGAGAACTCATGGATTAGTAGATAGTGCTTGATAAACCAGGTTAGCTTTAGTCTCTCTAGTTTATAACCACTTCCCAAATAGACTTTAAGTAGACCCAAGCAAAATTCTATAAATACCTTTCATTGGTAGTAACCCAAGAGAATGCTAAACACCTGCCCTATGGGCAGTACTCATTCTCAGCATCCTATCTAGCTATCCACCTGTCAACCCACCCACACACATACTTATCTACCTGTCCACTTGTCTACCCATTGGCTATTCACATACCTATCCATCTGTCCATCCATTAATCCATACTTCCATCCACCCCCCCACCTATCCACCTATGCATCTATTTGTCCATGCGTCCCCCATCTGTCCACCAAGCCACACACACACACACACACACACACACACCTATCCATCCATTTACCCATCCAATCTAATACATATATACACTTCAGTTAATTTCTACTCTATGCTTATAACGAACTAGCAGCTGAAGGATAAATGCTCTTTCTTACTTAAAATACCTTATTAAAAGAAGAAGTATTTCTCAATGGAAAGGTTTAGGAAGGAGAGGCCACAACAGGAGTCAATCCACCAATATCATTTGAGGCCATTTTACCCAGGATGGCCTCAGGGAGGGTGGGCAGAGATTTTTTACCTACCTGCATTTTATCTTCATGCCTCTGAGCTCAAGATATCATGCTTCTCTGAGAACCTACAGGTTGTGATTATAGAAAGTGAATGTCTTCTACTCCTTTCCTATGACTCCCTCATGTAGGTTCCTGTGTCTTGTTCTGCTCCTGCTTTATGTTGGTGATCAGGAGAGGATAGGGCATGGAGCCCCGCTGGCCTCTGTGACTCAGAAACCTAGACACTTGCAGTCTGATAGGGCAGGAAGGGTGAGTGAGCCAGGGAACTACAACATGTTATGTAAAGCAGAGCTAGGAAAAGACACCAATAACTCTTCCCATTAATGGTAGTAAACAAAACTGACATCTCTTCTATGGTAGCCATCTGCATCTGTTTTTTCATATTTACAATATGAAGATACAAGGGCCGGGGATTTAGCTCAGTGGGTCCCCCACTTTCCTCACAAACACAAGGTCCTGAGTTCGATCCCTTGCATAAAAAAAAAAAACAAACCAATTTGACATTTAGATTTAAGTCCAGTGAGGGTTGATTGTCCCAGAGTTCAGTGTTTACAAAGATAAGAAGGCAACATCTGTAAATTACTGGTTTTGTAAACTTTCCTCAAACACAAGGTCCTGAGTTCGATCCCTTGCATAAAAAAAAAAAACAAACCAATTTGACATTTAGATTTAAGTCCAGTGAGGGTTGATTGTCCCAGAGTTCAGTGTTTACAAAGATAAGAAGGCAACATCTGTGAAAA